GAAACAACTAATAACAACTGTTTGTTTTGTTGAGCCACGATGATTTTCTACTGTTAATAATTATTTAAGTGAATTCATGGCTTCACTAATATAACCTGTAGATTCAGTACAACTAATCAATATAATATAAGATATAACTTCTGTTTAATATTCATAATATTTATAAATTATAAACATTTTTGTCTATATATTTTAACCATGTGAAACCACTGTCCACAGTAGGTATAATACACGAGCAAATAGTTAGGTACCTAATGTTAAGCTTTAGTGTGATTTATTAAATTGTATAGCCCTAAAACAAATAGTAGTTGTGCAAATCATGAATATTAAGCAGTGCTCACTGCTCAAGCAGTTCATGAAATGATAGAAAAACTTAAGTTCACGTATTGTTCAATTGTATGTATGTCCAGGATGGTAGGATGTACCATTGTACCTAACACATTAAATTATACTACACGGTTTCAGCAATTATTTTACCTAATTAGTATTAATGATCATTAAACTAATCGGGGTTAATGCGTCTTAACCTGCATCTGACATCAAAGCATCGATGTATAATTTCGTGCCGATTATCCTCCTACATAGGTATTGTATACGACACGTATACAAAATATGGTTTATGCAAAGCGGAACAATTTAAATGTTTATGAAAATATCAATCCAATAAGTTAACTCAATCATTTTACTACGAATAAAAAATATTTTATTAAAATAAATAAACATTTCTGTGAAAAAGAACAATATTGACAGTTGAACGATACTTTCTACCTACACCTAGGGGGTAGGAATAATGGAGATAACTTATTCATGAAAAATTAATAATATCAACAACAATGTTTCCCGATATACCACACATTATTCGAATTACTTCAATAATATTATGTGTGTGCAGTTAAGAGTAATAAAAATAGTATTATTAAGACGTATCTACTTATAATATTATGATAAATTTTGATGTAAGAATAATAAGGTGAAAACCTATTGATAAAAATATTAAATTTATGGTTTTGATTCGTTAAAATTAGAAGCTCTAATGAAATATAATTTTAAAATTAATTTACCAGTCATCATGTTTCAGGATAATATTATGTGTCCGAAATCTAAATTGAGATAAATTGTAATAATTACCATTCCGATTCATAATAAAACTAGATCTATCGAAATCATATCTGTGTCCCTTTAGTTTCGACATGCCAAGAGCTCACTGTAATTGTACAAGATGTTGTAGTTTTTACAATTTAAAAAAAAAAATTAAATCTACGTTACTTTTATTTTAAATACCAAAAAACTTTTAAAATGTATTTCATGCAATAATTGGTGAAAATCTAAAGTCATGGATTATTTAAGTTTTAATATAATACAAAAAGTTTTCATCCCTGGTGGGAATCAAAACCACTGCTCTTGATGTTTCTCGTATACTAACATTTCTAGGCTGTTAGAAAAACTAGTGAGAAATTTAAAAAATAAAATGGCATCCCATAGATTAGATATCATAATATGTGCCCAATAATTCCATATATATAGAGGGGCCATACACACTTTCGTAGCACTTATTCAAATAGAAAATATGATGAGATAAAAGAATTACATTATTTCAAAACTAATAAATTCAAGTTTAGTTAATTCATCATGTTTTTATAATTATTAATAAAAATGTTTGATGCACATTTTTCGGTTCTTTTCATTTATTCAAATCAAAAGTTATAATATATAATGTGTCAATGTAGTGTAAAATAAGAACATTGTTTACGTTTGATTTTTTATGAATACACTTTATTCACAGATATTACACAGATAATAAAAGTGTTTAAAATATCAATATGGTTTTATGTGTATTTATTTAATTTCCGTAAATATTATCTTTGTTGTATAGCTGTCAAATCAAAAACATTATAATTTTTAAGTTTTTAACTGTTCATTGAAAATAATGAAGCATGAATTCATGTTAAATAATGAGTTAACAGAAAATAAAAATAGATTAGTGTCCTCGCTTATTCAAAATATAACACATGAATTAATAAAACTTAACACAGCTGATGGTTTTTTTTTTTTTTGAGTATTAACAAAAACGATTAACCATGTAATTGCATGGTTGTTTAAATCGTATGGGCTGACAATGTTCTGTTACACAATTTTAATTATACATATATGAATTATCCAATAAATTAAAAATTAACGTTAATCGTAAAATATATTAAATTGTATATGTATTTGGTTTTTACATGTTTATCCACTGAAGTACTTCCTAAATTGTATGAGTCATAATAATTGTATATACCAGAATCTGATTCATAATTTTACACAAGAAAGCGAATAACTAAAAAAATCAACCGGGTATTAAAATATCGTGTCATATTAACTGAATAATAGTACGATACCGATCAGATCTATCTTTCAGCGGTTTTTTATAACACGAAATTTTAATAGACGGTACGTTAACATGTGTTGACATGCGTTTGTCGTATGTATTATTTTCAACATTTTACTATTTTTTCTTGATATACGGTGTGGCAAGAAAAATGTATGAATTATTCATCCGTATAAAGACCATAAAAGTAGTTACTTGAAATAGACTTTTTCAAAACCTTTTTGTTTGATAACCACTAGTACAAACGTCACCGTGGCCTTAAAGACGGTATCAATCGATACATTTCTATTCCAATGCATAATGGCGTGCTTTTTGATTTTTTTTTCAATTGGCTGCCAAACACTTAATTAATGGTTATAAATATTTTTTTTTTTACCAGATCCATAATTAATGATTTTTAATTTTCGAACAAACGTTACCGTCCTACATGCCCAGCCAACAAAGGGTAATCCGGCAATAAGAAAATAGGTAGCCATCAAATCGATAAAGAAAATATACAACCAGCCAGAACAGAGATACAATTAGTTTTGCAAGAATTGGAATATGATCACAATAATACGGTTAAAAAGAAATGGTGTTTTATTTCTCGGTATATGATAACACCAAGCACACTCATTTCAGAGGTAGTTTTTAGAGGTCCGGCGATAATCTATACGTCATGATAATCCCCCTGACAGGTTTATTCACACGATGGACAACGATAATCGACCTCAGTAAAATACATAGTAGGGTTATATTGTGTTAAAACACAAAACTGTTTTAAATAAATGAGGTGCCATAAAGAACCATCAATTTGAAGAAAGTCCTTATCCCACAAGCAGCATTATCAGCCATTTATCAAGAATATAAGGTGGTTAATATATTGATAACTTAAATATTATGTAGCTAGCAGCTATATTTATAGGATTATGTTATTTATGATCTCGTGGTGTATAATAAACAACACTGTGAACGACATCTAATAATATTCATAAATGGATTGGCTAAAAAATAAATTAATTATCATTGTGTAATATTAATATGTCGAATTGATAGGTTTAGTCAAACAGGTATAATTGTACGACCTTTTTGTATAATATATTATTCAATGTAATTAATTTACCTATCAATATTGGTAGTTTATCATTGTAATAGTATTATAGGTAATTATAACTATTATATATACTTAAGACATCGACCGGCTACAATATCTTAACTATCACTATTGTGAGATCTGATACCACAGAATTTTCTTTTCTTATATTAGGTACGGTTTTATTTTAAAATCGAAATTTATTCAATGCATAGAAAATAGGAATACTTCCTTCAATATTTTTGTTGACAGCATAAAATTACCTTAGCTTCTGGAATAATGTTTATAATATATATATAAACAGTAGAAGTTTATTATTGCATTTTTTTCATTATTAATATCGCATTTTAGTTAAGTAATAGTTATAAATGTCACTATATGTATACGTGTTAGTATTAGTACACACGTGATCACCCGTCGAATGTCAACATATACAGCCTCGATTGTAATTTCTTAACTCTTGAATAATTCAGGATCAATACTATTTGGAAGGGGAGATTTAAACAAAAAACGATATTTAGCAGTCACTTTCGTTTAGTAGCTGAAAACAGAATTGGCCTAGGTAGTCGTGTTACTAGATACTGCGTAACTGAAAATGTAATATGCAAACGAAAAACGACTGGTTAGGTGTTCTTTGATATTCTACGTGTAAGCGTCTGATCCTAAAGCGATTTGACTATATCACGTGGATGTTTGAAGTGCCTCCACAAGTTTAGGAAACGAAGTTATAAGAAAAATAACGTGGAACCGATCATCAAACTTTCCAATCAATATCATTATGACTTTATGTTTGATTGAAAAAAATCCATTTCAAACCTCTAATAATTCTCTACACTAGCACCTAAAAAATTCCAACAGTCTTGAAGTATCACAGCTTTCCGAAATCCTGCCTTGCAAACCACTGACCTTTGTCCTTGACTCCAACAACATCCCAGAAACTCTCCTAAGAAAGCTTAAGATAAATTGTTGTAGAGACTTACTAACATAAAAATAATAATCAAATGAACAAATAGAATAAATAATTAAATATATATACTACGTCTAAACTCTAAAGTATTACTGCTGGGAAATTACTTTGATCGTATCATTAATGTCTAAACAATTACCTGTATCGAATATGTTTATTGCAAATAAACATTATAAATTAAAGGTACTTTAAAAATATAAAAAATAAAATATATATATATATGTAGTCATAAGTCATAACTAAGGTAGAGGACTTATAGTCCTAAAAAACCATAGATATGCAAGCACATACACACTTATATTTTTTTAAGGTTTAATTAATAAACACTAATAAAATAAATAGAATTTAAAATAAGAAAATACAATCACCGAATTTATTAAATGGGTTGTCCATATAACATATCATATCATAAATAAGCATAAATAGAAAGTAATGCATTCCATTTCACCACCAATTAAGAAAATACATATTGATGTATTCTGTGATTAGCTGATCCAATGATCCAATCATAGATTAGATTTTTTTTTATACGACATAAAAACAAACAACATTTTAAATAGTCAATCTAATCAATAATTTGAGTGTGAACTTACGTTTATTTTTCTTGAGACAACTTACACATGTAACCGCTTATTGGCTTATTACTTGTTATGTTTTGTGAGGGAACTTTCTAAACTCCGTTTAAATGATGTAATAAACTAAAAGCAAAAATAAGCCTAATTAAGTCTCAAAAACCAAAAAACCTAAATTTACAAAAAAATATCAAACATACAATGTTATTATATATATATATGGATTTGTCGTCACACGGAACAATTTTGTATCTTGTTGACCTTTTTCCACGATAACGCTGAACAAATATGCAAATGCTAAGATACTTCTGCCCTAGCCATAACTACTAATAACGCAATAAAAGTATTTGAAGAGCCTATACTGTGCCGAATAGCCGTAATTTTAGGACTAGTAATAACTAATAAAATAAACCAATTAACTATATTTTCATCAAAAACAGATATTCATACAGATTGTATCACACATTTAAATATGTTGAGCTATTATATAATGTATAAATTGCTTTTTTAAGTTGAACTTTTGTATGTTCGTTAGTTTTTTTTTTATTTTAATTTATTTCTTTAACGCATATAAATTAAAGCCACAAAACACTCAAAAAAATGTTTATCCTTTAATATATTGCAATGTACACTACTCAACGAATCTGATGGTTTACGACAACGAACTTATGGTAGGTACGTTCCTAGGTCAACGCTGTTCGTGTATACATTAGACACTATTATCTTGCTGTAGTATGCTCAGTCCAACCCATTAAACCAACTAGGGCCGAACGACTGTTTAATAAAAGCTACAATAAAAATCTTTCACCGAATGACATGTACACGTGAACTTCTTAACATTTGTACACAATAATAACGTATGTTTACTTAATAATACAATATATCGTTAATCGTTTGCAGTTAGAAAATGTTTAGTTTTTTTATCATATACAGATGATTCTAAAGCCATCAATAACTTAAAACATGAATCCAATTTGCAAACATAATAATTTTTTTTTAAATATATATATATATATATATATAATATGTACGACGTATATATTATACGTAAAGGTATGAAGATAAATTATTAAAATGACACCTTACACGAATTTGATCAATATTCAAAAACCATTAGCAACTTCGATCAGATAAAATCAGTTTGTTTATCATTCATCGCACTGTTGTACATAAATACATATATTATTATATAAAAAAAATCATGGTTAAATAATATGGTTAAATATTGAATGTTATTAAAAAAAAAACACAGAATAGGTAGTAGACATACATGTAGGTAAAAAATGTAAAAACGAATTTATATTTTACTAACACACACACTAATGGGTTGATTGATAAAATTAATGTAAGTAAAAAATTGAATACTTAGTAATTAGTGTAGAAAACTAGAAGAGAATGAATACTAAAGAATATCAAAATGTGAAAGAGAAGTTTTTTTCATTTCAATAATGTTATAAATAACCCCATTTAAGATGTATTCACATTTTCTATGCGACGTATGACTAAAATAAATTGACTTTATGTCACCATTTAAAATGTACACCCCTTATTTGTATTATTTTACACTAAAAATAAGACATTAAACTTTGTATTTTTAAAACTGTTAAGTTCAATAAAAAAAATATATAGTGCAGGAAGTCGACACTTAACTGTGTGACAACTGACAAAGTCATAAAAAATATGCATTAATTATCAACGCAGCAACGAAGGTTCATTTATTATTTAAACTGAAACAGACTTTAAAAAAAAAAAAATAGTGAAATTATACATTTTACGATAGGTATTCAAAAACATTTAAAACATATTTCACAATAAAATTAAAACATTTTCAGACTATAGATCTAAAATTATAATAATCAAATTACCTAACCTTAAATTTATAATTTCTTGTTTCGTATTTATAACAGATACAAAAATGCAAGCCCTGCAAGGTCCTGATTTTTCTACACATGTAAATTATGTTATAATATGTTTCCTACAACTAAATATACATGTATTAAACCACTTATAGTTAATATGATAAATTTTTCTGGTGGTTTTTCTATAAATCAACATGAACAATACAACATCTAATCTAAAGTTGGTTGTTGCATTATTGACTACTATATAAATTAAATATATACACGATTTGTAAAAGAATGGTTGTTGACATAATATGTAATTTAATGTCAATAAGACTATGTACCGAATACTAAAATGTACACCTCCAGAGTCTCGACCAAAATATTTAGCCATGTTAAAAGAAAACCAACAATGGTATTGGTAACATAGCAACCAAATATGCATACAGTGGAATCATATATTATAATATTTAAATAATACATATTATTCAAAACATTATGTACCTAATAGAACAAAACCGAAAAATATGTTGGTAGGTTGCCTGGGTGTCGATTTTTGAATTATCACATTTTAAGATTAGTATATTTGTTAGGTTAAAAATAATATATTTTTATAAGGTATATCATTAGGTTTATGAAACACTAAATGTTTGTTCATTATAATTATATGACAGAACGGAATATGACGTTTCCTGTTCAATTGAACACAATCAAGTCAGCGTTTACTTGGTTCGCCAAATATAATATTATGTATATTATGATCACGAAATGATTCCTCACTGCTTAATGACTCGAGTTCACTGTTAATTTATAATGTTTGAACTATCATTTTGATACGGTTAGAGTGTCTAAGCCCAACTTCGAATGTCGGTGGTCTGCCTTTTAATGTTTTAAATGTGAAAGTGCGTGTTATAGCCTATCGGTGGAATTCGAAACTAGATCGCATTCAAATAACTTTCGTTTCACATAATCTTATCTGTTTAAAAGTTCAGTGTGCTTCATAGTGGTTGCGTCAGAGTCGTCGGCTGTATGAAAACCCAATTCAAGTAAAATTGATGTGCATATGATACAAAATGGTACCTAGTCAATAATAAACTTTTGACCCATTTATTGCCACTCGTAATGCAATAACTTAAAAGCTTTGAAACGAATTCACACTTTTAAAAATATTTATGATGGATTTGTGTTCACATTCAAACAATTTATAAAGCTACAATATTCACGCACATATTATACATTCAATAAAAAGTTGCAACTCTATGAAATTTACTTAGAGACATACATTGAAAGTGTCATCGTTCTCATACATTATAATAGGTAGTATAGTATATACTAATTACCAAGTCACGTGTAAAATACATGCTTGTAGACTTTTTTTAATGTATCCCGCCAATCATAACCACCGAATTCTAAAAACATTTTATTATTAATTAAATAATATTTTATTTTAGCTTTAATCATATTTTGTTTGAGGGTTATTATCGAATAATTAGCAAAAAAAATATAACATTTTTTTTTATGAATATAAACAATATTTTGAAATAAAAACTGTACTCATACAAAGATGTATTATACCAATAGTATTTCAATATCATAATAATTGTATGATTTAATGAAAACTTTATTTTACAAAATACACATTAAATACTCTACGGAGAGGAATTTATTAAATGTGAATGGCAATTGTTTTGTGTTTCATAAATTTCTTTTCAATTACTGAAATAATAATTTATTGTATTAGTGTTAAATCATTAAATAGCTTTTTATTCATTTAATATATTAATGTTTAAATATTATTCACTCGATTTCATTAAAAGGCTTTAGGGTAAATCCACCCTATTCACTGTTTTCTAAATAAAATGGACCAGATAAAAATACATTAAAGCCACAGAATGGTTTTAAGGGTAAATAAATGTAAGGAACCCGTTGTTTACTAAGATCTGGGTAATGCGAACATTTTATGCGGATGAGCATTTTTGGATCTGATTGAAATGAGTTGGTTTCCGTTATTGTCATTAAATTCAAAAACTAATTTTCTCTATTTTATTAGTAGCTTACTATCCCATTACCTTCGAATTTATATTTTTGTATTTTCCAAACCATTAAAGTGAATTTTGTGTTCCAATAATTAGTTTCACAAATGGCAAATATCCAAACATAATCTAATACATTCATACTATACAAAATATATTAATGAAGACATTTTCATTTTCAATCTATTATTCAATTGTCTGATACTGATGAATATTAATTTCTGATCAAAAGATTTACTATTATAATAAAAACATATATTATATATATATTATATAACATTTACTTATTTTTAATTTTAATAATTAACTCTGTGGGTTACAATAATCAGGTATGAATAATAAATCACCTATTCTACGTTAAGACACGCATGGCTTAATATTGTCCCTGTTTATATTTTAAATGTCAAACCCTAACAAATTGAACTGATCTACTCCTAAAATTTTCAATAGAAATTGTATGGGTTTCTAATTTTAGATGCACTTTTACTCTAGGTTTATAGAGCAATACGTATCGGAGAATCAATATGATTTCAGCCATCGGGAGAGATTAACTGTTCTTTTGTTTCATCGTATGATTATCGTAATAATTTAACTGAGATAATAGACATGGGTCTGAAAAAACAGATCAGGGTCTGTGGATATTGAAATAATGGCAAAAAGAGCCGGAGATAGAATAAAATAATTTTTTAAGGGGACGGTGACAATCGATTTATAATGCGAAATGTGACGGGATTCTTAATTAAATCACCGGTGTTACGACAAATAACCTGTAGTGATTAATCCCGTCACATAATAAAATACATATGATTAATATAGATAGTAGATATACTATTATCATAGACTTATGGGGTCAAAATGATGTGTACAACTTGGGAAGGTAAACGTATACGCGAGCGCGTGCAAGCACACACACACGCGTATGCATAATGTGTAGGCATATACAAAAAAAAATATATATATATATAAAATGTGTGCAATGCGTATATACATAGAATGAAGGTGTGACGAGTCAGACGGGTGTTCATTAACGTGGCCTTGGCCGACAGAACGGTTTTTGTTTTGGCAACGGCTTGATGTATAATTTGTACTTTTATATTATAGGTACCAACGCTGTGGGATCGGCGGGTAAAGTGGAACCGGCCGTTTTTATTAGTGTTAATTTAATATTTTTTTCCATCGGTAAAATATGGTACATAACGATTTTTAACTACCTAGGTATAAATAGTATAATACTGTATTACCAATACGCTCA